CTCAATCTTTGCTCAAAAAGTCCTGGAATATAGCTAAATTATACTTCTACACAAATTAATTTCAGGAACTGCTTTTCAAGAATAGTCCTAATTCTTGATACAAATTCATGGTTCTAGGAACAGACAAACCTCAGTTAATTGGAATATTTGGAGAAACATGTTCTACAGGAATGTTTCTAAAATACTTTTACATCTAATTTGGGATTAACTATAAATTTTCTTTTTTATTTCAATCATTTTAATAATTTTGTTATGGTTATTTCCCTGCACTGGTAAATACAGACCAGTTAATGTAACAGAATTATTTATTGACAGTATATCTTCCTGTACTTCACATTTTCTTCAGTCTAAAGCCATCTGTCATCTTGCATAATAGATCAAGATTAGAGAATTACTGAAGCCAGACTATCTAGCCCTTAAGAGTTACGTTTTTTCCCTTCTCTCCTTGTAAGGTATTAGGTTGTTTTCTTAATATTTGTTTTCATCTAACCTGGTATGTAGTTTGAAAAGGTATTAGAGAAATACATTTTAGTTAATTGGGGATTCAGATTTATTAATGTGAATAGTTTAGAACTTACCATAAATTCAGTGCCATGTGACATGGAAGTTCTTGTAGTAAACTTCTCATTTGCCATGATACCAGGCTATGAGAGAATTCAAATTGATCAATATTAAACCAATTAAGATATAATTAAGTATGTGGGCTTAAAACAAGTAGAAATAACCACCTAATTAGTCAAAATAATTTGTTTCCTTTTATAAAAACAGATTTAGCAAATTAATTATTTTTTATTTATTTACTTATTTTTACATCCTCAGCCCAGCAAATTAATTCTTAATGAAAGGTTTTGTTGTGATTTAAAAAAATTTTCCCCAGAAAAGGTTGGGTATGTAATGGAAAAAGGATGGTTTTCTGGCTTTGCCTTTCACTACTTTGGGCAGTGCTGTTTATCCTCACTCTGCCTTAATTTCCTCATCTTTAATGGGAGTGAGTAATGCCCACATTATAGGATCACACAAAATTAAGCACCTAGCACAGTATAGTACTTGTCTCATAGTGATTGTCCAATATACGGTGACTATTACTAATTTTACTAAAAATTACTGTGGCTACTGGGGGTGTAGATCGGTATACTCACTACATTGAAAATAATTTTGGGTAGTTTATATGGAAATTTTCTGCATTTTACTAACAAGAGTGAAAATTAATATGCTTCATATCAAGGATGATAGCTTATGAGTAGGTTCTCCGTAGAATTCTCATGTTTTAGCATGTCCCTTGTGGCAGGTATGCAGTGTCAGTGGGACAGGCAGCAGAGTGATTAAGAACCAAGCCTTTGGTCCCAGAGTTGCCTAGATTTGATTCTCACCTGTACTCATACATAATAGCATTTGTGGCATTAGGTAACTAAGTTAATCTTTGTACCTCAGTTTCTTTACCTATGAAATGGAAACAGTAAGATCTACCTCACAGGGTTGTTTTGAAAATTAAATGAGACAATTCATGTGAAGTACTTGGTCAAGTACTTGACGTAAAACAATATTGAGTTGGTCAGGGATTTAGCTCAGTGGTTCCGGCGCCTGCCTCACAAGTGCAAGGTCCCAAGTTCGATCTCTGGTACCAAAAAACAAAACAAAACAATATTGAGTAAAGCTAGCTCCTGTTATTTTCATCATTAATATATTGTTAAAGCATTTTCAGATCTGATTAGTTATGCTTATCTTTGACCTGAAGTATTGAATTTATTGATTCAGTAATACTTATGGTAATACCTATTCAGTATAGAAGTCTGTGAAGTGCTTTGATTCCTTGAAGAATGCTCTATAAAAATTCAGTGTCTTTGATTGTATGATGCTGGTTCTCAAACCCAGGGCCTTGTGTATGCTGCGCAAGCACATTACCACCAAGCCACATCCACAGCCCAGTGTTTTTGATTTTAAAAATTAAATAAAAAATTGAAATACTTTGAATGATAAGCATTGTCCTTTGTAGACAATCTGATTGCATTCATTAGTTCATTTCTTCTTTCATTTCTTCATTTGTTCCACATGTATTATTTAACCACTATGTTCCAGGCCCTGTGCTAAATGTGAAGATGGGAGAATAAACAAGATATATCTTCTGTGGTGAAGGGGTCCATATCAGTGGAATTCGTAGCCTTTTAAAACTGCAAGGATCTTTAGAGCATATGTATTCCAACTATCATATTTTATTCAAGATTATCTAAGGCTGAAGAAAGGGGAGTGATTGTTACTCAGAGTCACACAGCAAATCAGAGCTAGAGCTGAACTAAAATCCATGTCTTCTGACCCCATCTAATACTTTTTCATAATGATCAACTCTGTGGAACAGGAGAAGCAAACAATACTCCACCCCTGGAACAAATGTCTAGGCATCTTGCATTGTTTTCTTGATGGTGTTAAAATTAAATTCACATCTCCCTCTAAAAGGTTGTTTTGGTTAGGTATATTTGCAAAGCGCTCATACTCAGTTTTGCTTTGGGGTCTTTGATGTTCAAAATATATATTACTCATTTGTCAAATGTTTATTAAGCATCTAATGTATGCCAGCCCCTGTTGAAAGCTTTGGGGATCTGGCAGTGAATAAGATAATCAAGATCTATACTCTGTCCATTTTGTCACTGAGCTTACATTCTAAGAGTGAGGAACAATTTAACAGGTGATAGATGCAATGAAGAAAATGTAACAGACTATAATAGAGGTGGGGTTGGATCAACTCATTACTTTTGGTTTGGTGATCATTGAAGGAAAGCTTCTCTAACCCTTTGACTCTAAGCGTTGGAGATGAGATGCAGATGATAGAATAGAAAACCTTTCAAAGTTTTGGAAGAAAAGGATTCCAGGAGAAAGGGAAGATCTAGTGCAAAAGCCCTAAGGTAAAGTGAATTTGGTATAATGCTGAAGCCCTGCTAAGGAGTTTGATTGTATAGTAAGTACAAAAGCAAGTAATTGTACAGTTTTTAGCAGGGGTATGACATGAACTCTGATCCTCTTTTTTAAGTTATATCTAATAATGATGAAAAAGAATGTGACAAAGAAGTACAATATTTACTTACACAAAGGCCCATAGCTAACGTTTGTCTACTGATGTTTTTATTGTTTACAGGACAAGTTTTGGCCTCTTTGGTACTTGAATGTTTTCACTACTCTCATTTTCAATACAGTTCATTATCCTGTGACCTAAACAAATTACTACCCTTTTGAACCACTAAAGAGGCTTAAAATATACAGTATCATGGTATCAGCAAATTAATTATTCTCTTTGCAGATAGTAAAGAACAAAATTTGACCTAATTCTCTTAATAATCAAATGGAAGTGTTCTTTAAAGTCTGTCTCCTGAATTTGGCAGTAGACTTTAGTCTCCTTTGTAGAAGTGTCATTAAGGAGTGGAAAGATCACTTTGAGTTGTACAAGACTTGATTTGAATCCTGGCATCAATTCTGATAGCTGTGTGACCTTGATTAAGTCTCTTACCTTCTTAGTTTCCACATTTGTAAAATGGAAGTAATATTTTCCCTATAGTATTACTATGGGGATATAATAGAATATCATATATGAAAGTACCCACCACAGTGCCTGGCATATAGTAGATTTTCAATAAATGTCAGTTTTCTTAGTGGTGTTGGAGAAATCCTAACATTACCTGTTTTTACCATAAAGATTGTCTCCCGCATCTTCTCTTTCAGGCCATTCCTCAGTATGCTATTCCTTGTCACTCCAGCTCCAATGTGGTTGTGGAGCCCAGTGGGCTTCTTGAGCTAAACAACTTCACCAGTCAGCAGCTGGATGATGATGAGACGGCAATGGAACAGGACATAGACAGTAGCACGGAGGATGGAACTGAGCCTAGCCCCTCTCAGAGTTCTGCTGAACGGTCCTAGTGTTTTGGATAAAGGAGTGCACTTTAAAACCTGCTTGGTTACCAAGTGTCCAGGGAAACTCTTGAATTCTAATGTCAAAAAAAAAAAAAAAAAAAAAG